AAAAAAAAAAAAAAAAAACGGTGGGAAAGAGAAAAGGAAAAAATAAAAACCAGAACAGAATAACAACAAAAAATTAATAACCATGTTCAATCAAGAAAAATACAAAACAAAGCAAAACAAGAACTAGAAAGGAGGAAAAAAGGAAAAACAAAAAAAGTCCAGTTCAAGGTGTGTCTCTGCTGTCACTGTTAGGTAATGTGGGCAGAGTCCAGAGCCAAAGTGATTAATCCCAGCAAGCGAGCTGCAGCTTCACGGTGGAGTAGTAGATAATCCCAGCCATCCTGCCCCTTCAGTTCCTCTGAAGTTCAGGCTGGTTTCTAGCTATGAGGCTGGAACCAGATTCCTTGATCCTACAACAGTCTGTGTGTCTCCTGCCGGTTTGAACTCCACTCCCTGACCTTCTGCTGATTTGAACTTGGCACCACACTGGGAGCCACTAGATGGAGTCCACCTGCAGCTGTTCTGAGTTCTGAGCTCAGTTGGCCCCTCTCCAAGATGGCTACCAGCCAATCGCCCTCTCCTCGGTGAGGTCTGAACCTCTTTTGTCTTGCAGCTTCCAAAATGCTCTCTTTGACTTTGATTTTTGAAGTCTGGTTAAAGTATATCTGTTGAACTCTTGGTTAAACCTGGAAACTTTTTAACTTTTCATCCCTGTATGGTCCATATCACTCTGCAGAGTAGGGACTTTTACTGGCATCTCTTTAAACTTTCTCTGACTCATCTTACACTTTCACAATACTAATGTTAGCTCTGCTTATGTTATTTCATACATTACATAGGTTTTCTTTATTCCTTTTTATTAATTTTTATTTTTTCTTCATTTTCAAACTGTCTTTGAGGTCAGAGTTCTTTCTTTTGCTTGCTGTTGACACCCTGTAATGTGTTTTTAATTTCATTCATTGTATTCTTTGTTGAATGTCTTCCCTTTTTGTTGAATGTCTTCCCTTTTTATTGCTATATGATTTTTCTCATTTTTTGAGCTGCCTATCTGTGTTTCTAACCTTCCTTAATTGTTTTGTATTCTTTGTCAGGCATTTCCTGATCTCTTTTTCTTTATATTGGTTACTGGAATATCATTGTGTTCCTTTGGAGTGTTCTTTTTCTTTGGTTTTCATGTTCCTTGAAGTCTTGGTTTGATTATCTTCACATGCAACAAAGCAGTCACCTCTTCCAGTCTTTACTGAGTGGCTTCAGGAGAAAATCACCTTCCCTAAACAGAATGGTAAGGAATTCTGATTTTCTCATACCTTTTCTCAGTCTCTTCATTGGCCCAGGCCAGAAAAAAGTTCAAAAAGAATTAGTACATACTGTATTCCTAATTTAAGGATAAATTATGTTCCTGGGTAGAAAAAACAAACCTCAGCTCTTAGGTTAGTATGAGAAAGTTGAATCTGGCAGGCCTCAATTCTCATTGTTTTTCTCTTCTGTAATTCTGCCTCCTCAGGACCCTGCCTGGCCAGTTCAGAAACACAGGAAGAAAAATGGCTACAGGATTGCTGACAGCCCAGTCCCAGGTGTGTAGGAAGTCATTTTGTTTCCAGCCAACCACTGCTGTGATCAAAGAGCACATCTCTTACCTGTTGGAGCTTCACAGCTCAACCAGGGCTGGCCTCAGTCTTCCCCAGCCAGTGATGTGGGCTTTGATGATGAAATGCCTAGAAAAAGCTTCCATTACATTGGTTTTTTTTTGGATATTCATCTAGGTCAAGTATGAATTTCATAGCCTGCTGGGTATTGTGAAGATTTTCTCTAGGAAAACCCATTATTCATTTACCAAGTATCTCTCTCATTCCTGCAGCCTGCCCTGTCTATACTGGATCTGAGTAAGACTGAAAGAGTCCTCACAACTTAATTGTGGAAAAATCAAGTCAACCATGTAGAAAAGCTGTGAAAGCCATGCATCTGAATGTGAATGGTCTAGGATGTAAAGAGGAGAACTCTGAAAACTGAGCTTTGGGGCAAAAAATGAAAGGCTTCAGACAGTTATCTGAGCTTGTACCACCTTGAGCCCCTTACTCAGCCCTGTCAGTTTCCCTCACCATCGTCTTGGCACATTGTTAAATATGGTCATTGTCTGAGCCAGAATGTATATGTGATGTTTTAGAACTCAGTGACCTTCCAGGAAGTGGCAGTGGACTTTTCCCATGAGGAATGGGCATTGCTGAACCCTGCTCAAAAAAGTCTATACAGAGATGTGACACTGGAGAACTTTAAGAACCTGGCCTCAGTGGGTAAGGCTGGCCTCATTCCTTCATTTGTTCTTGCAGCTAATAGTTCTAAGTACATACTGTGTTCCACAATCCATGAAAAGAATGGTAACATTGGGTAAACATAAAATGGATGGTCTCGGCCTATGTGGGCCAGTCTAGCAGTTTCTCATGAAATGCATTGATTTCATAGTCTTGATCATTAAAAGCTTTGGCTAATTTGCCAGCCATGGTAGTGTTCACCTATAATCCCAGCTATTTGGATGGCTGAAGCAAGAAGATTGCCAAGTTTGGGGCCAGGCTGGGCAATTTTGCAACACCTTGTCTCAAAATAAAAAGGTCTGGGGTATAGCTTAGTGGAAGAGCATTTGCCTACCATGAGGACCTGTTTGGTCCCCAGTACCATAAAAAGGAGGAAAGGAAATAAGCGATATTAGTGCAGAGCCATAGGTTCAAGCCCCAGTACCACAAAAAGGAAAAAAAAACCCAAACTTTTAAGTAATTAGCAATCTGTGTCTTGATTTGGGGTTTCAGGGGTCACTTACCCAATGAGGCATAGTGTTTGCTTTTGGGGAAGAGCTATGCTCTTATTACATTGCTGCTCTTAAAGCCATACTTGACCATCTTCAGCATCCTTTGAGACCAAATGACCGAAATCAATTTTGTAGTCTTCTTGTCTCTTCCACAGTTTTCCACATTGTGTCTTTCCTCACAAGCAGGTTACCAGGTCTGCAAACACAGTCTGACCTCCAAGGTGGAACAGGGAGAGCTGAGGACAGAGGAGAGAGAAGTTCTTCAAAGCGCCTGTGCAGGTAAGTCCTGGGCAGAAAGGAGTTACTGTGGAGCAACCTTGGCCAGCAAGGACTCATACATCTGAGAATGAGTACAGGAAAAGGCAGCTGAGGCCATTACATAATCTTTGCTTTCTCTTTCACTCTGTTTCATCATCTATATTTTCATTAGGTCTTAGAAAAAGAACTTTGAATTCCTCTTTAAATTTAATTTTTCAAGGAGGTCTCAAGTTTCTGACAATACCACACTTGGGAAATGGGGAGACAAGCCAGTCCCGAGGCTAAGACAAGGGTTAGGACCATGAGGGGAAATAGAAGAAAAAAACTACAGGAGCTGGGGCTTCTTTCTTCCCCCACTGACACATCCATCCATTGCTTATTTTGTTTTTTGTTTTGTTGGTACCCAAATCTTCCATATATGAATCAGGCCTCCATCAAAATATTGACAGAAGGTATCCTGCATTGTCCTGGAAAGAACAGACCTGGATTTAAAATCAGGGTCTGGCCCAGTATGGTTGCACATGCCTATGATCTCAGTACTCTAGGAGGGTGAGGCAGGAGGAGTGCAAGTTCAAGCCCAGCCTGAGCAACTTTGTGAGATTCTCACACAAAATAAAAAGGCCCTGGATTCAATTCCTGGTCTAAACAAATAATTAAATCAGGCTCTGGTGCCAGCTGTGGGGTCTCAAGTCTCAGAGCCCAAGTTTGTGAGCTGATCTGTAAAAAGAGATAACTCCACCTCTCATACAGGGCTTAGTGGCTGCTGTTCAATTTTTGTGTTGTCTTTGTATTAATAAAAATTTTAAAGGCTAAGTGGGAAGAAATTAGCATTGGTGATTGTTTCTTGGTGCCAAGAACCTTCCTGCCTTGCCTCTCTCACACCCTTCACCTTTGTACATTACACACAAACTCCACAATTCCTTTCTTCATTTTTTCCCTCTTTCCCTTTCTTCGAAAAAAAGTTTAATTTTTCAAGAATAATATTTGTTCCAGAATCCCTGCTTTGCTTTCTAGATAATTCTATGTCTTGTTTTCACAAACCTCCAAAATCCTTGCTAAGGACATTACCTTTCGTTTCTGTAGCATGTTCCTGTCATTTTTTTGGTCATTTCATTATTTTCACATTTTCTTCCTCTTATTTGTTTTTATGATTTGGGGCCTGCCTTCCTTTATTCTTGTTCCAACCTTTTGTCCCAATAATTATAAAAATTTTCCCTATACATTTTCAGGCTGGCAAGCTCAACTTAAATCAAAAGATGCAATTCCTATGCAGAATGTTCCTAGGGATACATCCAGTGGCATAAGGATGGTAAGATATACTAGGAATGATTGTGGGTTATTTCAGTGAGTTAAAACATCACTCAAACCAGGAGGAAGAATTGAGCAAAGTGGCATTCACCAGAAAGCCATCTCAGGGAACAGTTTATGACACTCACAAAATTAGAGAAACCTCTAAAACTCAACATTTGATACCTCACAGAGAATAACAACAAGTAAACATTGCCATAAATATACCAGTATTAAATATTGAGTACACAAGTCATTCTTCACTTGTGTTTAGAAAAACTTGTGCTTAAGAAGCCCATTGATGAAAAGGAATAATTTGGAGCCTTGGGCAGGGCATTCAGCTTATTCATCTTGAAAAACTAATAGAGCAAAAGTCCTGCCTATAGTCCCTGCTACTCAGGAGGCTGAGGTGGGAGAATTGCTTGAACCTAGAAGGTTCAGCATCAGCATAGGCGACACACAAAACACACAAAACAAGGCGACACCTTGTTTTCTTTTTAAAAATAGAAAATGTAGTACACACACTGAAAATAATTATGTATCTCTTATATATGGCAGACTCCACATAAAAGAGAATTCCTGTAGGTGTGATGAAAGTGAAGCCTTTTACTTACCACTTTGTACTATTCAACAGGTACGAACTCAACCTGGCACGAAACCTGTAGAAAGCAATCATTGTGAAAAATTCTTCAGAAAGAACCTTCATTTTTTTTATACCAGGCATTTCAAGGAAGAAAAGTCCTGTAGGTATATAGAATATGGCAAAGTCTTCAGACATTCTTCGGCTCCTAGGAGTCATGTGAAAAAAGCTTTCAGTGGGGAGTCAACCCTTATGAAACATTTAAGAATTCTCACAGGAGAGTGTGCTCATGAGTGTAATCAGTGTGGTATATCCCTCACTCTACATCCTTCCTTCTCAGCATATGGACAAATACATGCTGGAGAGAAACTCTGTAAATGCACTGACTATGGAAAAACATCTTCATTTAATGTTCACAAAAACATACAAACCATGGAGGAGGGCTTGGGACGTAATGAATGTGGGAAAGCTTTCACTGGCCCTGTATCCCTTCAGAAATATGTCAGAACTCACACTGGAGAGAAGTTCTATGAGTGCAGTGACTGTGGAAAAGTCTTCATTTTTCAGTCTTCCCTTAAGAAACACATGAGGTCCCACACTGGTGAGAAACCCTATGAATGTAATCATTGTGGGAAATCCTTCAGCCAGAGCTCTCATCTCAATGTGCACAGAAGAACTCACACTGGAGAGAAACCCTACCAATGTAAGGAATGTGGGAAGGCCTTCACTGTTCCTTCATCCCTTCAGAAACACGTGAGGACCCACACAGGAGAGAAACCCTATGAGTGCAGTGACTGTGGGAAAGCCTTCATTGATCAGTCATCCCTTAAGAAACACACACGATCTCACACTGGAGAAAAACCTTACAAGTGCAATCAATGTGGAAAATCCTTCAGCACAGGCTCTTACCTGATTGTGCACAAAAGAACTCACACTGGAGAGAAAACCTATGAGTGTAAAGAATGTGGAAAGGCGTTTAGAAATTCCTCTTGCCTGAGGGTACATGTGAGAACACACACTGGAGAGAAGCCCTATAAATGTATTGAGTGTGGAAAAGCTTTCAGCACAAGTACTAACCTTATAATGCACAAACGAATGCATACTGGACAGAAGGTATGAGCAAAAACAACCATGGAAAAGCTTGTGTCCTTCAACCTTCATTCCTCATTTTTTAATTCACACTAGAGAAAACATACTGTAAATAATATGGAAAAGGCCTTGAGGCATAACTCTTTGTTATTGGAGAATAAACCTTTTAAAAACTGTTTCATCAAAATTGTAAAATGGTAGTTTGTAATAAAGATTGTATTATAACTATATCACTAAAGTTTTGATATCAGATCATTATAATTTAGTACTAAATGTTATCTAATTCCCATAGATGTCTTAGACCCACAGATATATTTAAAAGTACATTTAACAATATACAGATCCTATACATTTGTTCCTTAGTTTAACTGTATAGACAGAATGCATCATGTTTATGACACAAATTCAAACAAAATTGCTGTGTGGCATACTGTGGCTGATAGAACTAGTTGCACTTCCAGTATTCCATCTCTTTCCTCAAAGTAACAAAACTTAAGAATTTTGTTCAAGTATAGCAAGTGGTTTTTGTTACTTTTTGTTTTGGCAGTACTGAGGGAAGGATGCAGGGCCTCACATGCTAGGCAAGCTCTCTACCACTGAGCTACACTCCCAGCCGTTTTTTTGTTTTTTTTTCAGGACCGTGAACTTTCAAGGCAGGCACAGCACCACTGAGCTAAATCCCTGGCCCCTAGCCTTTTTTATGCTTTGATACAGGGTTTTGCTAAGTTACCTGCGTTGGTCTTGACCTTACAGTCCTCCAACCTCAGCCTCCCGAGTAGCTGGGAATACAGGTGTGCACCACCACACCTGGATCAACACTTTATGTGTAGTATTGGGGATTGATACTAGAGCCTTTGCACTGAGCTACATCCCCTGCCCTTTTGAGAAAGGGTCTTAAGTTGCCCAGTCTAGGCTTGAACTTGCTATCCTCTTGTCTCAGGCTCCCAGAGTACTGAGATTACAACTGTGTGTCACCACACCAGCTAGACAGTTGTGGTATTTTTTGTGTTTTTTTTTTGTTTTTGGTACCAGGGATCGAACTCAGGCTCTTGCACTTGCAAGGCAGGCAGCAGAACCACTGAGCTAAATCCCCAGCCCCTAGACAGTGTTTTTAAAGGACTCATCTCCGAGTTTGCCTTGCAGCTATGAGTGGCCAAATGTCCACAGTCCTTATCAATGAGAAGCAGACAAAGGTCACTGGATGTGGTTTCTAAGAAACTCTTGGAAATAGCAATCTGCCATTTTCTCATCATAATTTTGCCCTTTGACATATCTTCCCCCCCGCCAAAATACAGTGGACCCTTGACTTACCAACTCAATTCATTCCTGAGGACTGGTTTTAACTCAAGTTGGTCAGTTGCCTTCAAAGTCTCTCTTGTATAATTTCAGGCCACACTTTCTTCCAGGCAGATCTCTGTCCTTTCAGAGACATTGGCCTAGGATTTCTCAATTAACCCCACATAAGAAAAAATGTTGTAATGTTCCTTCCAGAACTCTTTAAGGGTTAAATCTGTATCTGAGACCATCTAGAAGCATAAGTGCCTGGTGTTTTGGGTCTTAAGACTTTGGTCACAAGTTAAAACTAAAATGCCGGTTGTAACTCAAGGGTCCACTGTAATACATCCATAGGATAATAGATACAGGCTACTAATAATATATAGCAGGAAGGACACAGCATTATCTGGCTGCATTAACCCTGGACTGTTTATTTCCAAATTTCATGTTACATGAGAAAATTAAGCTTCTAACTAATTTAAACTATTTTGTGGGATGTTTCTCTTGTAACCAATTTTAGTCCTAGCTGCAGCATCTGATATGCAGTCAAATTTTATGAATCTTTCAAGTATGGTTGTAAACAATGTATTTTCCAATTTTGGGGTATAACGGGCTTCTCAGTGGATCCACTGGATACTTTTTGTTTTTAAAATGTCACTACAGCTGAGTTATCAAATGGCTTTAAAAGTTTTCTCTCTTTTGAGCCACCAGAAGGCTAAGAAGAATTGCAAGTTTGAGTCCAGCCTGGGCAACTTAGCATCATAGCTAGACCCTGTCTCAAAAAATAATAAAGGGCTGGGGATACTTCTCAGTCCAAAGGCCCTGGGTTCAGTTCTCAGCACTGCACTAAAAAGTCTCTCTGAGACACTATAGTTGGGTATGTTTCTGGTAAATTGTCCTTTTATTCTTACATAATATATATCCTATTTCCCTAATGAAATGTTCACTAATTCATGTGATATAAGGGTGAACTAGTGGTCTAGCTAATGCCATTTTCTCCACAATAACTTAGGACAACCAAAGCAACTTATCTTTCATCAGCACACACTCGGTGCTGTTTCTTTCAATAACATCTGCCGGTATTGATCATCTTCATATCCCACAACTGCTCCTCTCCCGATTTCATGCTGACTGGCCCTGATGAGAGGAAGTAGCAAGTACTTTAAATGCCTTAGTAAAGCACACATGAATAACAGGACTGGAAAGAGACCCAAACTTAATAGAGGTTCAGTTGTCTGGCATATGCCAAAACATTCTCTCAAGGTGAAGTCTGCAGCTTCTACCACCTACCACAAAGAAACCACAATATCTTAGACCCACGGGTCTATTTAAAAGTACATTTAATAATGTGCAGATTCTCTGGATATGTTAACTTTGAGTTTTAATTTTTTGTGGACAGTGCATGGTGTTTATGACACAGATTCAAACAGCTTGGTAGGCTGCTTTGGTTTCTGGAGACACCATTTGACCCATTCGATTATTCACACTGAAATATCTGCCAATGACCGTACTAGTGAATGTTACACTACATTTGAGAATTTAGAAAACCAAGGAAAATATGCTGGCCAAATATGAAGGCAACATAACCAGATCAAAACTAAGCAAGGACAGATTAAAGCCCAAAACCCTTCAAAAGTTATTAAAATGCACTGGAAGCCAGTCAGGTATTTTTTAAAGAGAATCCACCATGTTCAATTTAAGTTTGCCCAGAAACTCAAAGTTAGTTCTACACTAGAAAAATCAAAAATATAATTCACTTTTGGATGGGTAGGTGTGGTGTTGGCAATTGACCCCAAGGTCTTTGCAAGTATTCACTATTGAGATAATCTCCAGCCCATAAAATTCACTTTTTAAATAGGCCTGTTGCTCATTCACTCACCTAATAATTATTAGGCACCTAAAATAAGATTCTAAATACTTGCTGCTTATTAAACAGTATTATTTCAGTAGATACAGAAAAAATAAATACAAGAGATCTAAGGCTAGGGTGTGTATGTGTAGTTCAGTACTAGACCATTTGTCTAGCACATGTGAAGTTCTGGGTTCCATTCCCAGCACTACAAAAAGAAATCTTTCTAAAAAAATTTCTCAAAATATAAACACTTATTTTGTTTTAAAGTTAATAGTCGAACACAGAAAAGATTAACATGAAAAAAATGCCAAAAGTGCCCACTATGACAAATAATACTAATGTAGTGGAATCCTAGAAAACAGTAGGAAAAAGATACAAAAGACCTAAGCACCAGGCTGGGGATGTATCTCAGTGGTACAGCACTTGCCTACCATGTGCCTGTAGTTTCCGCTACTCAGGAAGTTTAGGCAGGAGGATGACTTGAACCCAAGAGTTAAAGGCCAGCCTGGTCAACACTGTAAGACTCTCAAAAAAATTAACAAAACTGTTGTGGAAACAAAATATCAGATATTAAAGACAACCTAAAAAAATCAGAGACATTCTTTAAAAGATTCAGTTCTGACCAGGTATGATGGTGCATGCCTCTGATCCCAGCACTTGAGAGGCTGAGGCAGGGGGTTCATTGAGTACAAGGCCAGCCTGGGGTACATAGTAAGACATCAAAAAGAAAATCGGAAAAGACTCAATTCTGTACTGATTTAGAGATTTTTAAAGTTTCAACACTGTACAACTCCTTTTCCAGGTTGGCTGGGGAAGTTTACATGAGAGATTATGGAACACACGAGCAACTACAAAAACAGACTGTACAGTGATTATACATCTTCAAAGACACTGGAGATCTGTTGATAAAAAAAAGGATACAGAGGGCCAAGGATTTAGCTCAGTGGTGCTGCCACCTGCCTCTCAAGCGCAAGGTCCCGAGTTCAATCCCCAGTACAAAACGGGGGGGGGGGGGTCCAAAATTAAATACCAGAGAAGAACAAGACCCTCCTAAAATAGCAATGGCTCTTTTTCTGTGGATATATTTCTGTGGCCTAGAAACAGTGGTGGAAGACCAAGCCCACTACAGGCAAGAGAACTTTATATAGTGTGGAGGAGCCAGAAAGGCACTAATCAGTAATCACAGAGCTTAGTGTGCACAATGTAAAGTGGATGATTCTCAGATACAGAACTGGTTCTTCCTAACAGTGCTCCCTATCCCCATGGTATTTGTGCTGAGCATGCAGCACCCAAGGATGCAGGGCACTGAAAAATAGGACATTTCCTATTGTAGTGCTTAGATTCAAAGTTCTAGAGGGCATGACCTAAAGTAGTTATAAGAATGACCTTACTCTAAGTAGTACCCACACAGTTTTCAAGTTACATAACATGTGAAGTGACAAGACAATGTTAGTCAAAAAGAGCTAATAAAAGATCCATAGAAGATGAGAATTAGAAGATAGTTTAAAAGAATTATCAGTTACAGTAAACCAAAAAAATTTTTAAATGGGTGAAAATATGTAGAATTGCAGTATACAAGTAGACTAAAGTGGAAACAAATGGGTATCCTAGAAATGAAAAGTAAAATTTCAAAATAAATTCCTTAAATGAGCTTACTAGCAAAGTAAATATAGCATGAGGGCTCAATTCTCTACCAGAACTTTCTTTAGAGAAACTATTAGTAACACAATTCATGAAAGAGGTAAGACAATATTGATGAAAAACAAAGCACTTTAATTCAAAAGAAAGGAAGAAAAGACAGTGGGGAAACAATAGAAAAATGGTAAGTTCAAATCTGATAGAACCAACAATCACATTAACCTTACATGGACAAAGCATCCTAGTTAAAAGACTATAATCACTGATTGTTTTTTAAAATGTTACTGTGTAAGCTGCTTATGAGAATCACTTTTTAACTTTGGATCACTTTTTTAATGTAGGGGGGAAATACTACACTTGCTGTATCTTTAAGAAAGCTAGTATAGCTATATTAATATCAGACAAACATACTCTAAGACAAGGGAATTTCATGATGGAAGAATCACATGAGTAGCATCTGTAGACACC